TGTTACGTAAATATTAGAGAGGATTGAAGCGCGCGTAACAGGTGTGTTACAGTGGTGAGAGGGGGTATTCAAATTTGCGTTACGTAATTTATGGATGGCCCCTTACTGGATGAGAAAGTCCGTATAAAAAGATGAACAATTGTGAAGTTTAATACCCCGTAATATCAAAAAATAAAAATGCGGTCGTATTTTTAAATATCCACCAAGGCGAAATTACTGAAATATGTAATTTTATTTCAAATAGCTCGGAAGACGTGTTATGCACACAAAATGTAAAAACATGTCAAATAAAAGTGAATTAAAATGATCCTCAAATACTCATTCGAATTGTATTCAAAATGTATGTTTCTTTATATTCGTACTTCTCCTGATAGTGAATTCAGAAAAGTGAAAAACATACAAGTATTTTATGTGTGAGTAGGTTTGCGCAGATATGGGCGAATCGACGGACTGGTAGCCGATGTTGCTATTGAACGGACGTTACAAGAGGAGGCACTCCCGTCTAGAGCTACTTGGAATGTTATAGCGACCCCCTCGATCCTCTCGCTGACACACAGAAGGGACGAATGGTGAGTACAGGAGGCGACTGAGTGATTATTGATTGAAGCATTCATGCGCTACTACGTAGGGACTACATGTGTACCAGGTGAATTCGAATCTGATTGCGTGTAAAGATACAAGTTGTTACCGTATATGCAGAAGGTTACGAACGTTATCATCCCTATAATATAGCAAGGAAGGATGTCGGTTTTCTCCCATTGATACGGAATCATAAATCCAAAACTTTGTTAGTATGTTACCTAGATGGGTAGTATGCTACCTACCAACTCATCTACATCAAACATATTTAAGTCCAAAACAAGTGGTGCCACAACATCACGTACTTTCTCGTATTATTTGAGGAGCGTTCATTCAAATAAAAAACATGTCCATCAAATCAGATTTTTCAGAAACAGCGAAAAACTGATTGTTGACAAGTTATCGCCTTTTAAACAACCTAATATGGTTTGCTGCTTACCAGTATTGTTACAATAGTCTACATATACTGCTATCAAATCAGTTATTTATAATTAAGACTATATTTGAGGTTAAAAGTTGGAAATGTTCGCTTTTACTTGGAAAATTAGTTTGCGTTTACCGAAGCACCTGCGGACAAGTTTGCTTTTGCTTAAAATGGGGCTACTATTATAATCACATACGATTGTGATAAATTATTATACTGTAGTTTTTATGTAAATATTTTATTTTTCGAAACAAAGATCTTACAACAATTTATTAAGCTAGTGTAACCACATTTTGGCCTCAAAATAAATAAAAAGAATTAGATTCTATATATACCAGCCATGATCATATTCTGAACAATCACAATTACCTTTCACTTTTTGGCTATCCATTACAATTTGATTTTCAGCTATTGGCTCATCAAAGACAAAGGAATAGCATTCCAGCCCAACAGTATCTGAATGATTCTCCCCATTTATCGCATAAAAGTTCAGTCCAATGGCGTAACGTTGGAGCCTACAAGGTCCGGGCGGGCCCGGGTAACAGAGGGCCAATTTTTAGGATGAAGGGTTTGCGATTGTAAGAAATATTACGTTATAATTACTCTGGTACTTTGCAATAATTGACACAGTAAGATATTAAAACAGCATCTTCCAGAAGAACGATTTTTTCTCGCTTCGATAGCTCAAGTAACCATGTTTCTAAATTAATGAAAGTAAGATTAATTTAGATTTCGTAAGTCTTAATTTCTTAAAAATTAATAATACAGGAGATTTTTTTCTTTATTGTTTATAAGCATTTTACTATTATTAATAATAAATACGGTACATAAACTGTCTTTCAATTGCTGTTGCAAGATGAGTCATCCAGCTTCGATTTCAATGTTCGCGTTTTATTCATAAAATTATTGTCTGCTATTAACATTAATTATTTATGTAGTAGTAAGTCTGTGATGAATATGAATTTGTTAAAGGATACTTTTTATTATTTAAGGTATTAACTACTTGAGATTGCTATACGCGTTTATAAAGGAGACCCACATAAAAGTTTTGTGGGCGGACTTACACTTCGCTACGCTACTGACATATTCATGTTGATCGACAGTGACACAAAAATATAAAAATATTAATTTTTGTAATTTAAAAAAATATATTTTTGTACTACTTATTGTTGTTCAACAATACTGTATTGCAATAATTGTATTGTTTATTACAGATTACGCTGGGAAGAATTGAAAGTGGGGATGCATTGTAAAATAAAAAGCACTTACTTTATTATGGAATAAAACTTCATTCTAATATTTTATTTATATAATGATTGTTTTACTTTTCTGCTAGTCCTTAAACAAAACTAATTCTGAATTAATTTACTGAAATATAGTTAATGATTAATTTGTTGATGAAATGTTCCTGTAATGGAAGTTTCATCTGTTTATTCATTTGTGATATTTCATTTGTTTTGTGTATAGTTGTTTGTAGTATCAGTATCACTATGTCAAATTCAAAGTAATAATTTTTATGAAAAACTGTAAAATAATCACAGAAATTGCCAAATCTAAAACATTTTAACAGATATGTAAATAAGTTTACAAATAAAAAATGTGTTCATATCTCTTTCCTTCATTGCTAATGGCTGTGGCAGTTTTGTATATCTTGCCACTTTGCTTCACAATTTATTGAGAAATATTAGGATATATCAAGATATACAACTGAAAATTTCAATTTCTTTCAAAGAAGATTTTTTTTAAATAGTTCCTCATTGTGAGTGCAATCTTTTTTGGGGGCGGGGGGGGGGAATCAATTCAAAATCAAATCGAGGAATTCCTGATTCTCTGAGTTTTTCTTTTAAAATTAAAAAAAATCATAGCATCCTCTACATTTTCTATGTCGCCAAGAACAGAAAACACAAGAAGATCATGTATTTTCATTCACGTTCTTTTCGACAATAACATGCTCTTCACACCACTTTTCTGAACTATTGTTCCACGACTAACGAAAGTTGTCGAATTGTGGGATTTTCCGACGTCCAAAATAAGAGGTATTAATAAAAATAGCATTTAAAGTAGGGAGAGAAAATAAGATCGCTAAGCGTACGGTTCGGTAATTGTCGTCACTAACACGTCACAGCAACACCGGCCTAACCACAGACATAAAATTCTGTACTACGTGTCTATGGGCATAAGCATCGAAATCCCCAAGCTTCAAGAAAATTCAAGCTCGCTGAGCATAACCGTCAACGTATAACCAGAGAGTGTGGTGCGTAAACTCTCTAATTGTACTTAACATTTCAGTAAACTTATTCAACATGTTCACCAATAAATCTTACCTGCCAATCGTATGTGTTTCATACTAAACAAATATACTCTGAACTGTCTTATGACTTGAACAGAAATTTAGCAATGGCTTCAAGCGATGAAGAAGCGAGCGCTGGCAAGTCGGACTCGCTCAGGAAAAAATTCAAAACTTCAAAAGCAAAAGGCTAAAAGAAAACACACACACACACAATACAAATATGAAAATCAACGAAAAATCAATTTTTAGGTTATAGAAAGAAATCCAGAAAATGAATTTAAAACGAGATGCAAAATATGCGGAGGAGAATTTCGGGGTAAAAGGTTGGTGATAATATTTTAAATTTGTATGTGTTAGTTGAAATTTGAATATACGAGTACCTGATTTACTTATTACGTAAAATGAGAAACAACTAATGTTTTTCGAATGATATTTTTAATAAACGAAGGTCTACTGTCAGGACGCTACTCAAGTGCAAGATCCGCTTTCAATTTTCATAAATCGTAAAAACTTGGTATTTTTAGTCATCCATATAGTTCGATGTGAATTGCGGATTGAACGTCGAAAATGCGTACCAGTGGCAAAACTCATCCGGTACCTCGGAAACAAATTGGAAAAATGAATAAAATGGCTTATGTAAATTGAATTATGAAAATTAAAGTCCAATACTATTTGTATATTAACCACATTTATCTATTCATATATCACTGCAATTTAGAATATTTTAAAATAATTTTAGAAAACTGCCAATTATACATACCATTTCTTAACTGACCCTGATGCGAGTGAAATAAAAGAAAATAGAAAAATGATTGTCAAAAAATTCAGCTTACAACAAAATAAAATAACATGCACCCAATATCTCTTTCATCAATATTATAATTATCAAATCAGGATCATAAACCAACATGTCTATCAATCAATTTTATGTCAATTCAAAATAACAAAAATTTACAAACATCCCAGAGTCAACTATGATTAGTAATCTGAAAAATCAACAAAATGTATGTTCTCTTACTTAAAAATTCAGTGGTATCATTAAATAATTCAGTTATTATGATGAATTAAGTATTTGCTGTTATCGACCAAAAGAGTATTCATGTATATACATGTAAAGATGTTGGTAAATATAAAACATGTGAATATTCATGGAAATGCTGTATTTTCTGGGGTAAATTTTCTAGAGCTCTCCTTGGTTATAAGGGTTCAGCTAGCTTATACAATCGTAATGTGAAGATGTTCACAATATATGGGTTCAGCAATTGTGAAGATTCACATGAAGCCACATTCTCAATTTTATTCCAGCTGCGCAATTTAAACAAAGCAAATTTCCTAGCTTTTGATTATTAAAGGAAAGCAGTGATCTATTCAATTTATAGTTTTCTCCACTCCTATTTTTTCTCTTGTTTTGGTACCTCACTTGTTTAAGGTCGTTCACTGGGAGCCAATTAGGAGGGATATCAGAATCGGCCTCTTCACAGCTTTAATATATATATATATATATGATCAGAACCAGTAAATTTCAGTAAAGGTTATATTTTTTAATGTACTAGTAATTATTTTGAAAGATTCTATGGCAGTTTTGTTTATGAATCCAACACTACTAAATTATATTATATAGTAAACCATACATAGGTGACTTTTTTATTTGTAACCTATATAATACTCAGCAATAATGAATATTCTTGCCAAAAATGAAATGCAAAACTTAATTGAAAAATGTTTTCCCTTCGTTGAATATTAATTTGTTATTACAAAACCAATTTGAAGCAGCTAAAACGGTGTTATTTATTGTTTACTTTTTGCTAAGAACATTTGTCACCTCAAAATGTGGAATAATTAGTCAACACTGCCATACAAATTAACATGTCTACTGTAACCCTGCAACATTGGGTTGAAAATACTCTATTACTAATACCAAATTACTTCTAATATTATACAAAAAATGTACATGAAAGTATTAAAAAATAGAATTTTGAAGAATAATTACCTAAAGAAAGAAATCTAGGAATATTAATGTGAATCCATCCACCCTCTTATTTCATTACAAAGTTCATAATATTACCTACATAAAATACAACAGGTGCTTCATTTACACACTATCTATATCCACTCCTGTATTTACTCCACTCTGTACTTACACAGAGTCTATAAACTCTTTGATTTAAACTACTTATGCACAAGAAAGAAAAAAGGCTATAATCTAAGGATAAAATGTAATGACAAGGAATGTGCATTAGTTAAAAATGTCACTGATTTCATTTTAAATAACTATTTTAATGTGAATAATATTTTTACAGAACAATTCAATATCATATACAGTAGAAAAGCATTTATTTTACATTTATGTGTATAATATAAATAAGAGTTGAGCCTTGAAAATTAAAATATTTTAACATAATCCCACATAGACATTCATGATGAGATAATATAAGAAGAAGAAAGGAATTACATTAATCAACAAACCCTTACTTCAGATTATTACATTGAAATTGTCTGGTAAAGCAAGTAAATGATGGGCAGTCCTGATGTCTAATATAAACATAAAGTGCATAAAGGTGATCATACAATTAGAAAATTATTAATATAATATTTTATGTAAGTGGATATTGATTATTATGTAAAAAAGAGAAATACACAATTTACTTGAAATAAATTACATGATTTCCAAAAATAAATGTTGTAAATCTCAATAAAATAAAAATCATGTTTTAAACTGAACTGAAAATTTAAACATCCATGAAAAGACTGATATGAACGCTTTATTTTGAGCTACGAGAAGTGCATATTTCATTTAAATTAGACGCTTCAGTTTTCATAACTTTTTCTATTTCTTCAACAGTGCGAGGTACTTGGGTCAGATTTTCAGCACCTGTCTCCGTGACGACCACATCATCTTCAATGCGTACTCCTCCGAAATTTTTGTAGCGTTGGAGGACATCGTGTACCAAAAACTTGTTTTGCTTCTCGTTTGCTTTCGCTGCTTCTAAAAGCGGTTCAATGAAGTAGCAGCCAGGCTCCACTGTGAGAACCATGCCTGCTTGAAGGACTCGGGCAGTGCGCAGACTCTTCAAACCAGGCGCTGAGGGGCGCTGTGGTTGATCCGGCAGATAACCGCCCACATCATGGACATCTAGACCCATGAGATGACCCAGACCGTGAGGTTGGAATATCGCGCCGAGGTCTGCTTTCAGCATGTCATCTACATCCCCTTGCAGGAGGCCGTTGTCGGTCAATTCTTGCAAAAGGACGCGGTTTGCAAGAACATGCATGTCAACCCAGGACACACCGGGTTTCATGGCAGCAATGACAGCACGGTTGGCTTTTAGAACTGCATTGTATATAATCTTCTGCTCGGGAGTAAATACTCCGTTTGCCGGAAACGAGCAGGTTATATCGGAAGTGTAGCCATTATAGGAGCAACCCATATCGAACAGGCACATGTCCCCATCGTGGATTGTTTTGTCATTTGGAGCAGCAGCGTGACCGTAATGCAATATGGCTCCGTTTTCTCCGCTTCCACAGATGCATGTGTATGACACATGGCGACAGCCACCAACATAATAGCAGTACTCCAGGAAGGTTGCTTCGGCTTGGTACTCCTTCATGCCTGGCTTCATCTTTTGCATTATTTGGATGTGCGCTTCTGAAGATATCTTGTTTGTATAGCGAATAACTTCCAGTTCCATTGGAGTCTTTATCACCCGGCATTCGGCAATCTCAGGGAAGAGAATGACTTTATCTACCTTAAACTTACTGATGCCGTCAAACACAGCTTCTCGTGCAATCAGGTTGCTGTCCGTGTTGATGCCGTGCAGCAGAAGCAGCACGGAAGGACGAAACTCTAGGGTGCTCTCCATGACGCTGGCGATTTCATCAGCGTAGAAGACTCGATTCACGTCGTACCTAAAAGCACACACAGAACAGTTGTAAAACGAGCAATGCCCAGATTAATTTGTCTGTAGATCCCAGCCTTGTGTGGGAACGCGGAAAGATTTCGTACAGCCTACAGAAATTAGGTAATTTAATGGATAATGGTTTCTAAATTTTGTAGCGTTATATTAAAATTGAATAATAAACGAGTTGCAAAATCGATTTTGTTTTCTTTGATATAAGCAATTTGTTTCAATTACAATGGAAGTCTCACTAAAACTACAGAACCACTATAATTTTTTGCCACATTATAATATCAAATATTGATAAACTGACAAATTTTGCCGCAGCATTATTTTACTTTCTCTATACTTCGTAAGTATGTAGTAAGGCGAGAAAGGAACCACGTGATACTGCTTTGAAGTTGATATTTTAATTTTGCGGGGTACTTTATATAAAGCTCTGGGGACATTTTCAAAACTTTCAAAAAATGGCAACGTCAATTTTGTTGTTAGATTCTGAAGGACATTTCAGATAATGGCACAGGGATCATGTTGGTTGAAAACTGATTTTTCGGAAACAAACAATTCAAACATTTTTCGGGGTCTTCCTACAACTAAAATATTGAAGACTGAGATATTGTCCCTTAATAAAATTTGTTCCTTATAGATATATTTTGAAATAAGGTCATGTACAATTTTTCAAAAAATTAAGTATTTGACGCGTAATTTTGCGTGAAATATAGGCAATTTATTTTTCTTTAAACACTTTATTTTCGCAACAATGGCTCTATCGTTTTTGATGAAATTTTGACGCCATTTTGCTATATTATTTGTTTTTTTCAAAAATTACAAAATATATTTTTTTACTTGCTTCTCACGTCCGTAGTATTTAGATTAGCGGCGATTTCTTCACATACTTGCATTTAATAGCACATGTGTTTAAAATGACTTATAAAGTTTCTCGAAAGCTCAAACATGCTCAAACGAGCTCAAATCTCATTTTCAGAAAAGCTCAAACGCCATTTTCTGAAAAGCGGCTCCAAATTTTTCTTCAAAGTTTTTGAACGGATAGTGCAAATTGGACTATTTAAGATGCCATAAAATTAATTTTGCTGTATTCTTTGTTGTTGTTTTTTAAATACACAAATGTAATTTTTTAAAGTTCTCTCACGCCGTTAATATGATCATTTCTAGCGATTTGTATACATTACTGCATTTGTGAGTAAAAGTGCTTCAAATGACTATCAATTAAGTTTTTCAAAAACTTAAAAGTTTCCTGTGAAAAAGAGCTTCAAAATTCGCATTTACACTGGACATTATGTTTTTTCCCTAAAAACTGTTCAACATATTTAAGCGAAAATCTCCATTTTGGACGAGGTTTTACTCTTCTTTAACATTTTAAAATTAATATGTCGAATCTACCATTAGGAAGGCGTAAAATTGAAAATCTCCTCCGGCGGCACACTAAGCTAGTTTTTTCTTCATTGATATCATTGAACTTTTTATTACACTCAATTAACAAGAAAATAATAATTGCTAGAATGTTAATAATCATACATTATAATTAAAGTAAAGAATTAGTAAAACTTGGTTTAAATACAAAATAATTACGTATTCAAAGTCATTACACGTCTCCTTTTTATAAACATTTAGTTTTCACATTATTATTAATATTATTGTTAAGTGTTGTAATATCAAAATTTGGATATTCATTTTTCATTTATTTTTAAAAGCGTATTCTCACTAAAAGATTTTGAATTAGCGCCATTTTCTTATTAGTTCTACCTCCACAGGAGTGGTAGCGCTTCACTCGAAACATCTGCCTACCTAGCTCGTTTCACAGAGTATAGATAATGAAAGAGGTTTGATACTCCATGCTCCGCTCATATGATTCTCGCCACCTGACTGCCTGCCAAAGCCTACCTCTTGCGCACGTCATCGGGGTCACGGAGCTTGCCCATCCATACGGCGTACTCGGCGGGGAAACGCGGCATGAAGAGCGCAGAGGCGCCACTGTCCACGTGAATGGCCCCGTAGAAGCCGGGCTCCTGCACGCCGAACGCCCATTGAAAATACGCCTCCTGTCGGAAGTTGTACTCGATGTCGGAGTCGTACACGCTGACGCCGTCGCCGCCCTGCAACAGCACCACGGCGCCGCGCGGCACGTCCCCGCGCCGACGCAGACGTGCGCACAAACGCCTCCGGTTCTCCGCGAAAAGATCCATAGGGACTTGCAAGGTGTGCGGGCCCATATCGTAGCAGGGCTTGCCGCCGGCCGCGCTTGACGCCATCTTGTCCGCTTGAAAGCTGGCCGCCTACTGACAGGAGCAGCGCCCGCCAGATCAAGGAAAGGAGTTTGAACAGGCGCTGGTCGCTTGTTGATCCAGGCGAGAAGATTAGATAGCGATAAAATATGGCGCATTTTTCCACAAACAATAGATGCGTTAGAGGGTTGTCTGTATGAACTTTACACTGTGCCAATGGAGGATTACAGCTTATGAAAGTCGCTTGTACCAAGGGGGGCATATCAATAATCAGACAATATTGCACTCCCTGAGAACTAGGACAACCTTTCATCCGACTGCCATCACTCTCTTTTATGAACATGAATATCGGAAGATGCTGCTATTAAAATAACCGCACAACTCGACTGCCTGTAGTGCTGGTCACACTGCGATTAGTTAAGGCGCGAAATTTGAACTAATATTTAATAAACGGCATTTGTCAATGCAAACTGAATATACAATATATGAGAACACATACGCTAATATTTTAAGATATTTCAACACTCCTTTTGACTTGCTTTTTAACATTATATGAAATAATTTTATTTCAATTTCAGTTACCCGATTGCGTAACCGCGTTTCTGCTTATCAGCTATTAAATATAGAATTGTTTTAATTGGACAATAATGTAATTTATTACTGTAAGTTTTGTATAATTATTCTTTTTGTATATTATTGTAAGTTAATATAATTACTATAGTACGAAACTGCTATTTTTATTAATGCACCCATTGAAACTTGTCTTTCTTTTGTAATCCCTCTGCTTCTGCTAATTATTATTATTATTATTATTATTATTATTATTATTATTATTATTATTATTATTATTATTATTAAAGTTACCTTCTAAATGTATTCTGACGCTTCACTAGTTCCTCATAAAATCTTGGAACATTTGAAAAGACAATTAGGGGAATAAAAGTTTCTGAATCAGAGGTGGACAATTAACAAACAAAAGAAAATTCTCAGACCGTGAGATTTTTATTTTCCATTAGTAAATTTCGTAATACTAAGGTCTGTTATCAGAATCGTTATCTCGGGAGCGTGTTCCACGTCATTTAAAAATGTTTGCTTCGTCACTCGTTCTTTTTACGAGAGGAGACATATTGTTCCCTTGCAAACTTCTACGAAATATGCTAAGTGGCAAACGACACTTTGCAGGTATTGAATGAATAAAGAAGCAGATAATGTTTTTTTCTGGGTCCATATAAACTAGCGGCGCTAAAACTGCACACACTTTCTTGCGTTATTTAAAACTTTTGAAATTATCGAAAATTCCGAGAGTTCAAGGAAAATCAGACCTGCGCTATTTTTAAGAGCTATTTCTCACTCTATGAATATAAACGAAAAAGAGAAAAAAATGGACCGATTTTTGAGAAATTAAAAAACAAAAATTACAATTTTGTAAGCATGAATTATGAGAAATTTTAGTGTTTTTACAAATGTACACGACCTTTTTTAAAGATTTGATTTCTTAGAACAGATTTAATTCACGACAAATTCTTATATTTAATATTGTAGTTTTGCAATGGTAACTTTGAGTTGTTGTTTTTTTGTTTTTTTTTTCGAAAATAGCAAGTGTTCGCCGAAAATGGGACCAGCACAATTTTTTTACTGTCCATATACATACATACGAGAAGAAAACTTAAAGAAAAAAATTAATACTGTTTTTTAGAAAATTAGTTTTTAAAAATTACCTACACTTCACGGAAAATTACGCAAATACTACTCGCATTTTCGAAAAATTGTAAATGATCGTATTTCAAGATTTCTTTGAACAACCAATATCGTAAAGGAAAAAGTAACCAGTGGACCTTCAGAATGGCACAGGCTTTGCCGTATTAGTATTCTATCTCCTTTGGTCTCGGCTAGCTATTCGGACTTGCCACTTACTCTTGCTAGCAACCGCCTATCATCGCCCAAAGAACATTTTATTGACATTTTCGTAATTTTTCGGTTTACAAATAGTAGAACAGAATGTTATTTTAAGAATATTAAAGAACAAGCTCCTCCTAAGCGGCACTTTTGTTCAAAAAAATTTTAGCATTTTTTAAAAAATGGCGTTTAAGTACTACTGTAAATTTGAAATTTTAAGCTCATTTTCACAGAAAATGTTTGATTATCCAAAAACACATTTACTCACAAATACTATAGTGTTTACAAATTTCTGGAAAAGTGCATATTAACGGGGTGAGAGATCTTAAAAAAATTAAATTTGTGAAAAAAAAACCTACCCCGAAATGAACTTTTTGTCATTTTAAAGAGTGCAATTAGCACTATCCATTCGAAAAGTTTGAAAAAAATTTCGGAGACGTTTTTGAGAAAATGTCGTTTGAAAGTTTCCGAAAATGCGGAACTTTGAGCTAGTTTTGAAAGAAAACGGTTGAGTTTTCGAGGAACTTTATATGGCATTATTTAAAGCACATGGAAATATTAATGACTTATTAGACAAGTAAAAGAAATTACATTTTTGTAATTTTTGAAAAAACAAAAGTATAGAGAAATATGGCGTTTATGTCATTTTATAGAGTGCATTTATCACTATCCCTACCAAAAGTTTAAAGAAAAATATTTTAATAATTTCTCTTCCTCTTGTGATGCAACAGAAAGAGGCCAATTGAATCGCTTATTTCAGAAACCCGTCACATACCAAAATCTAAAACGCATTAGTGGCGGACTATTGCTCCAAGAGGATAGACACATCGCTTACTGCATATTTATTAAATATCAACTGCTTTAATAAATGAAAATATTTCAAATCATAGAAATTTGGAGACTTTTCCCCAAATTTCTCGAAATGAGGAATTTGGCATTTGACGGGTTTCTGAAATAAACGATTTAATTGAGAAAATAATACTGAGGTCAAAGCAAACGTCCGTTTGCTTCCACTAGTGATTGTGCGTTAACAGATGAAACTACATATTTTTGATGTAACGTGTTGTGAAAGTGTTGTAGAATTAATAGATTTTATGTGGAGAAATTTTTCCTTTTCAAAACCTGTTGAATTGTATCACAGTATGCGCTGTAAAAGCCAATTTATGATTTCTATTCTAAGATTACCATTTCAACAAGTTAAAATAGGGCAGGGATTAAAATTTGATCACGAAGTGCGTTGATTTGTTGTTACTAAGTTGACTAAATTTCATAATGGCAATTCTAAAGTTTGTTACTCGTAGGCACAAGTTCTATAATATTAATATATTCGTTTAGAATTTAACTAGTTTCATTTAACCAAGTACCTACCCTATTCTGTTTATCTGCCTGGCCTCAACGCATAACCCTTGCCTCTAACTGCTGTATTAATACCAAATTATGTTGTCTGAAAATCTGTCTCTATCTTTTTACCTATCTTAATGTGCTTCTTTCTCATCATTGGTCATTTACATTTGTAATCAATGACAATTCTGTATTTCTTTTGTGGTGCTAGAAATAGTCATAATGTTGCCTTAATAAATATGTTACATTTTCGTATACGTAGTATTCAGAAAGTTATTTGGTGCTGCAAAAAACGGATGTTGAGATTTTAAAAGAATACATGTTTTCGGGTTTCAAGATACCGAAAATGTTATTGCCCTTAGAACATAAATCCGCGAGTCTACAACGCTAGCGTCAAAACCGTTCATAGAATTCTCACCAAAATTATAATCTCAGTTCGATGTGACGTCCCTCGGATTTAAAACTGATTTTAATTTTTTCGGGCTTTAACGATATGTAACTTTATTGATAAAAATGACTTACATACCTGTAAATATGAACAAATGTAGATAATCAAATGTTTGAAATCATGTCAAAAAACCTCTTTTGTAAACATATGACAAAAGATTGTTTATAACTGATGAACAAATGTTTAACAAAATAACCTACAAAATCTAGCCCTGATTGTAAAATTAGGTAACTTTTATCAATAACATGAGAAAGAATGTGCTACAGTAGCTTTACTAATTCACACATTATTCTCCTCTTCGATTTCGAAAATGAACATAAATGGCACTTTCCAAATAACTATTTTATAAATAGTAATTAAATGAAATATTTCTGAGAAGCAGTTATAAAAGCTGCAGCTTTTAAATGGAAAGAAAATAATAAGAAATAAATCTCTAAAAATGACATTTTTTAAAAATTTCGCAATTATTGTTTACATTTCCTATTTATAACCACCCATTAAAAACTTATACGTGCTGATATAATACATGTATTGTGTCAGTATCTTTGTTACTCGCCATGTTTATGCTTGTTTGTTGTTTTTCGATTTTTGGCTTTTAGTGATCATTTAAAAAGAGCGCGTCGGAGCATTTTAATGTTGGTACAAATTCTTATAAGATATTTTTAACGTTGGCTGCAATTTCGACAGTAGAAATGTCTACGCCTTGTTCAAGAATTTGAGGTTATGGACTACGTGGAAATTCAAGATATTTTGCATTTCTGAGGTCCAGCCAGTTTCAATTTGTGTTTGAAATTAAAATGGCGGGTGAAGAGATCTGTTCCCCAAGTGCTGGTGAAGATATTCCGAGCGATATTCCACAATCAAAGAGTGATGGTGTTGATGGAGATATTCTGTCAGATATTCATGATGAAAGTATTGTTGACATTTTGAATGAAGAGATAATGGTCTTGTTCCGAGAAGAACTGGAACGTATTCCTGAATTGTTGAAGTACATTAATAAATTGCGCTCTTTTATTCGGAAACAACATGAAAGAATTAAAACCCTTTTGGGAAAAGCCAATGATGAGGTACAGTATGTCTTTATATGTTAATTTCTACTCACAAAGAATGATTTTGTTAGCTGTGGAAAGCACCCTATTCTGTTTATTATAGACACTTGTCTCTTATTGTAGAATAAAGATGAAGTTGCCCAGATGAAAGATGCATTTGTGCAGACTGACTTTGAACTGGACAACTTGGAAAAATTAGATCAAGAGTGGCAAGCCAAAAGAGAATCTGATAAATCAGATGAAGTTTGGAGAGAACGAGAAACAGCTAGTTCAGTTGCTGAGCAAGTGAAAGAAGCTGCTGAAAGTGCTTTGAAACAGACTGGTTTTGTGTATGAAGAATCTTCAGGAATGTACTATGACTATAACACTGGATATTATTATAATGCTGTAAGATTATCTTTTAAATACAAAACAATTATTTTTTTCTCTTGGAGATATTAATATATAAATGTATTTAATTGTTTTTATGCATTATAGGAGCTGGGTTTGTATTATGATGGAAACAATGGGGTGTATTATTACTATGATGAAAGAAATAATTCATTCCAGTTCCACTCTCAGATCGAACAAAAGTCAGTGGAAGTTGAAGTTGAAGTTGCTCCAAAAAGAAAGCTGAAGAAAGTGAAATCAAAATCTGATCATGTAAGCTTTTTAAATCAATTTATTTATTTGTAACTAATAAATGCAAATGCTTGGAATTTGAGGAAAGAGATGGTACAAGTACTGTGAAGAATTTTCATGTCGTTTTCTCCCTGTTTCTGATATATCGTTAATTTAAATTAAAAGATCTGCCACTGCTGCAGTTTTGTCAATATGCGTCCATGATGTTGCAGAGAGAGGACGTGGACAGTCTAACTGAGAGATTGTCACAATTGTCAGTGCAGGTCTACGCAACGAAAGCTCTAGGTAAATAAAGCCTTATGATCTATTGCTTTGTAGGAGAGGAGAAAACGCAAAGCAGAGGACTCACTTGAGGAAGGAGAATGTTCAGATAGCACTGAAGAGAGTGACGTGTCCAGTGATGCTGAGGACAGTTCTGACGAAGCATTGACTGGTAAACCGTTGGATTGGCTCTTGACTCATATTTTACAACGGCATAGAGAATGTTGATCGTTTTTTAAATCATAGTTTATGAGGGTTTTGGCATAAGTTATGGCAAGTATTTTTTTCTTCTGAGAATGTGAGCATGGATTGAAAATGTGAAATATACACATGGTAGGAGAAAACATGAGCTAAGTACATGGACTTTTAATCACATGTAAATTGAGTTTCTCATCTTTATTAAGGTGTTTGAAATTACAGTTCTGATTTCATGTCCCAAAGCATTATATATTATATGAGTTCACGACATTCCAGAAGCATTACCTTCCTGTTCTAAAGGTCTGATTACTGCACATGCACAAGTCTTCATGTGTGCTATTGATCACTGATTGGTACGAGTCCCTGCAGAAACACTCCTGCCTGACTTGTGCGTTATTCCCAACAGCGTCCACCATTTCCGTGTAACAATCTCGGGCATTTCTTCCATGGAGAACGGCTATCTTAGTGTACAAGTGCTGCTCAAAACGGGTTACATTAATCTTGCACAGCGTTAGTCAAACAACTGATTTCTTTGCTTTCGGTAGAGACACTCACAGAGTCCTCTGTTGTTTTGAGCACACATTACTACAGCATTTCTTTTATGTGACAAATAAAATTGATCCGATAACATTTCTTTTAGAAAAAAAAATAGTTGGCATGACTTCTGCCTCAACCTTTTATATTTAATTTTGAACTGAACAACATTTATTTACAATAATTTATGATCAGTATATTCTTGTATGTTATTTTGTTTTTAGAACAAGCAATGGCATGGCCACCGTGTATGCGAATTATAGTGAAAGAAGCCAATACTTCCCATTTGAAAGTTGGTACCCTTTTTATAGTACCTTACACGGGTGGAACTGTTGGTAGGGAAGGAGATCATGTATTTTGCTTACCTGACATTAATGTTAGTAAGGTGAGAAATTGTATCATTCTTTGCTTTGCTAGGTATAGCCGATATTCACAAATGCCAAAGATTTAGATTTTGACATTTGAAAATACCTGCCATTTCTCTAATAAATCACCTACATTTTCTTTTTCCATGCAGAGCCATATCAAACTTCTCTTTGATGAAACAGAAGGAAAATACTTTGTGGAAGACCTTGGCAGCCGGAATGGCACAATTTTAAATGGGCAACGTTTAGAGGAAGGTGTTGATGGAAAGCAAGAAGTAGTGCATGGGAGCGTGTTGCAAATGGGAAATATTAAATTGCTCTGCCACATTCATGTTGGAAGAGATGCCACATGTGGTCACTGTGAGCCAGGACTTATTCAGCAAACATCTTCCCCAACAATTGGTAAGATTTTTATTATCATTCTGAAATTGGACGTAAAGAAATGATGGTGTAATGATGGTATTAATACAGGAGTGTGAAGTAATATTACAATATTATGAAGTCTTGTAAACTTTGCATAAGTGTGTTAATATCCACAGCATCAGATTTCATGCAGTTCTTTTTGAGTGATTAGCGGTAACTTCTATAAGTCAAACTTCTACATTAAATGTTTATGTAGCATATGCACAACCTGACTTCAAATGAGCACAAGTTAAATTAGGCTTCGACTTATTAATAAAGACTGTCATCAAAGTTCAATGTCTGTTTTCATTTCTTAGGAGCTTAATAATTAATACATTCACCGTAGGGCACTTCAGTATTCTGATTTTCTTCTGAGTTTTTGAAACAGGGAAAGGCATGTGTGGTGTGGTGTGGTGTTGCTATTCCACATGGTCTCTTGGCAAGTAACATACACAATCCAATGAAACATTTAATAGAATGATGACCAAAGATTGATTACTTCTCAATTGAATCATTTATTTCAGAAACCATCAGGCACCAAATTCCTCATATCAATAAAACTCAGAAAAAGTCTCCCAATTTTTCTGTTTCCAAAATTTTCTTTTGTATTAAAGCAGCAATATTTTTCATATAAATATTTGCACTAAACGATGTGTCTGGGGAACACAAATCCATCACTAATGCATGTTTTAGAGTTTAGCATTTGACGAGTTTCTGAAATAATTCAATTCTAAAGGTCTTCCCATTGGAGAAACACCTACACTATAATGAAGCTGTTTCATAATGACTATCATTATGAGCTGCAGCCATCTAATAAGAGAATTATACAATGGAAATAGAAAAAATATAATGATGTGCAGATAAGCAGTAAGATAATATAGAATTTTTTTCCCTGTAGTAAATGTGTATTACTTACTCACATATTACTTATGTACTACAGAGAAAGTTATGTAATACTGCAGTGAAATATGGCAATTTTTGACAGAAAAATTCTAAATTGTACGCCCCAGATACTAAAAAAGTGGTTAATTCTGCTCCTGTATGAAGTAAGTTCTAATATGTGTAGTCAGAATCCTCATTTTATGTGTCCTTATTACTGAAAATGGTATTAATTTATAATAAAATGTCTGTACATCTGTGAACAGTAGGACTGAACCAAAGGCAGGATTATTGCCAAAATTTATATTCCTCAATTGATCTGGCTGATGTCACCCTTTGAATTTGAAGTGGATATTTTGATTGTTGAGGGTACTTTTTCAAAATTTTCTCAAAAAAGCTTCAAATTTTTTTCTTTTAGTTTTTTTTTTTTTTTTTTTTTTTTTTTTCTCCAAATAGGAATGTAGCAGGGATTTGATTATTTGCAATTTTAAAAAATTGCATACATTTACATTTTTTTCCTCATCATCCTGCAAGTTCGCTATCGAAGATAGGGATTTTTTTCTTTCATTCAAGAAAAAAATCCCTATGTGTTTTATCGAATAAATTTATCTGGATCAATACTGAAATATTCTCAAGAAACAATTCTGCATCTAGAAGTTTTATGTTTGCAGAAGGAATGCTGTTGAACGCACTGGTCACTTATTTCCGGAGTCAAAATTACCCAGAATTTTTGGCCACAAACTTAACTTTGTTGTTTAGTGTAGTATTGTTAAGAGATGTTCACACATTATACAAGGTTTTGGGGTTGTTGCGAAGTTTCTGATCACACTAGTAGCTCACAAACTTGCAAGCTGGCTATTTTTGGACATTGAAGATGAATAATACTTATTACTTCATGTGTATATTTCTGTTAATGCAGGGAAGGGAAATTAAAGACTTATTGATTGGAAAATTACAACACTGTCATCACTGCCTAGGTGTCATAAATTTGGATGGATTTTCATTTTACAGAATGTAGTTCTTATATAACTATGGGAATGAGTAGGGCCCAGATAATTATGTAATAACATATTTTCCTAACATAACTCTGTTAAGTCGAATCAATGATATCTTCACGTTTCATATTGGTTAGTGCCAAAAAACGACGTTTTAGTACACGTTTTTACATAGTACTGAATTTTTCTATTTTTTGTAATTTTTTAATTTAATTCTTAATTTTTCCTCTATGTTTGTGTTAAGGAATCTCCCAGACAAACGATTTAGCTGATTTTTTCTGTAGCCTCCTCTCTAATATTGCCAGTACATCACGTTGGTATGTGCCTGACTTTATATACCGATGGTATTACAAATAAAAGGGCAAGGCAACGATGTAATCTTTAGCTTCTGATATATTAGTTTTCAGCGCGAGTATCGCAGTGACACTGAGGAAGTTTGGTTTGTGAAAATCGTATGTTTAGTGGGCGATATCGCGCTCCCACTCAGCATCTTTCAGAGGTCTCCCTTGACACGCTTCATCAGCAACTATTATATGCCCACCTTTGGAAGCGCTGTTGAAATTTTTTTTTTTGTCCGACCGTTACACGCGAACCTCCGGCGTTGTTTGTAAGTTATCTCTTTGTGCCGAAAATCTGAAGTAAAATCACGATGTTGACCTTATGGGGCAGTGGTAACGCAGAGAGAGATAATTTAGCACAGACAAGTACGGCTGTTGTCATAGATTTAATTTTTAAAATCCATGTTGGCAATCTGGAAACGAGTCGTGTTTACTAAAAAAGGTTACCGTTCGTGCGTAAAAAAGTATCTGTAATATTTGTGAAAAAACTGACAGAAGAGAAATTGACCTATATTTTTGAATTCAATTTTTGTTGCCCTTTTTGAAGAGCGGCATAATCTTCGCTGTTTTGAAAATATCTGGATAAGTTCCGGTGTGTAAGGATGCATTAAATATGTGAGTTATGTGTATAATAGCAGGCGCATTAGTTATTAACGTCATTACGCCGATAAACACGAACCAAGTCTGTTATTTATGATATCGGCTGTTTGTCGTTCAATGCTTTTCGCAATACCATCTTCTTATAAGAAAAAAATAATAAAAATAACAAACGTCTTTGTTTTTAATACATAGAGTGCAACGCCATCTTCCATTTCAAATCTATACGATTCTTGCTTCAGACGCGACATTTACAAGACCAAGATTTGATCGTAAGAACATACTAGAAAATGTTTACTGAAAGCAAAGGGCTACTTAAAAAAAATTGTAATTTTTGGTATTTTTAGGGCATCCTCTTATGACATGTCCCCTTTCTACCCTTGTCCCATTTCGCCCCCCTGTCCCATTTGCCCCCTTGTCCCTTTTTCATTTGTCCCATATCATCCCTTTAACCCATAGTCCATTTGTTCTCTCATCCCATTTGTCCCCTTGTCCCATTTCGAGTTGAGACAGCCTTGTGGCATTGACTATTTATATAGAAACCACGAGCAACGGAGTGCTGGTTACACTGAATTGTGTAAAGAAAAAAAAAAAAAAAAAAAGATTATTAAGACGTTAAGATATTAATGGCCGGCGGCCATTCAGATTACCTTTTCAATTCTCTATGTGGTTGTGTTGTGCAGGTATATTAACAGACAGTATTACGAAAAAGACTTTAACAGACTGTCGGAAATTCATCAAAACCAGCCGAATATTTATTTTTTAGTTCATTTGAGAATATTTTGAGAATATCATGAGAAGAAGTTTTGGAAACTAACATTGTGTCTAATAGTTTGGGGGTTAAAAGAGTCTCTTTTGTCAATTTTGTTAACTTTGTTAACTTTTCTACAGCTATGGAGAAAATCCCAGATTCAAAACAATTTATGCTATTAGTGCAATACAATGAGAGGACAACTCCGCCACGCTGGATATTGAGCACATGCCAGAGGATCTGTGCAAGTTTAATATGCACTAGTGACTCGTGCGGTGTACAACGCTCTCCACAGTACAAGGCTCTCTTACAAGATAATAGAAAAAGTGTTATTTGTTGAAAATTTGAAACAAATATTTGTTTCTTATTGTTTTGGAAGTTGTTGTAAATCATAGGATTAGGAAGAGTATAATGTTTAATTTTGGTCTTTGTATTATGAAACCGAACAATAAAAGTATTTTAATAAAAAATAATTGATTTAATGATACATATTTCTTACTTTTTGGTACATATGTCTGTATATTATAATACATATATATGTACATGTTTTCCCAATTTTTAGTACATAATTATCTGGACCCTAATAATGAGAGAATATAGTTAATGTTTGCAATCTTCGAAAAAAATCATTGATTTGTGTTTCAGAAACTGACAATCTACAAACATCCAGCAGCAAAGGAGAGCAACATCGCAAAGAACTCAAGAGATTGAGGAAAAAATTTGGCTTGCAGAGTTCAGATAATGACTCTACTCCTGTTGTAGCTGGTTATGAAGATCGTGCTCAATTGAGAAGAAAGACTGTGGGTTCACAGAATCCTTATGAAAAGACTGAAACTGCTTCAATTGAAGAGTTAGTATTGTTTTCCTGGCTGTATGTGAGAAGTAATTGTAGAATATTACTATTTTAATTGTGATATTTAATGTTAATATGCATGTTAATTCCCTTTGAAGACAAAATCAGAATTCACATGTATAATAAATCGCTCAAAGTAAATTTTTTCAATAATAAATTTTTATTATTTGAAAATTAAAAAGGGATAAAATACATCTTTGAACTGCCAGTTAATATTTACAGACAGTTCATGATAAAGATATTTAACCAAGATCTTTAATATATCATAGTTAGGACATAAAGAAGAACTGGAATTGAAAATATGTTTTATAAGTAAATTGTCTTACTGTAAAATATGCCCTATCACCAATAAGAATAATTATAAAAGGGTTGCTGGGTATTCAGGTCACTAAGTAAGCAAAAATTGTTTCACACAAAGAGGCACAATCATGATTTTCCTTTGAGAGGAGGGTCTATAGTTGTTACGTCCAGACAATTTGATATTTTCTTTTAAAAAAATTGTATGTTATGGGATTTGGAAAGTAATTTATATTTGTGAATTAAGTATTGTTTTTTATAACTTATGCAAGTGATATATTGGACAATTTTCATTACTATGGAAAGTACATTTTCTGAACCATTACAAGTTAATGTTCAAATCAAGGAGTTTAAAAAGTTCAAGATAAAAGTAATGAAAAATTATAAATTAAATGTATTTTACTTCAAACTTTTATACAATTAGAACTGTTCAAACTCCGGGAAACCTGTCTTAAGCTTTCACACATGGTTATGGAGAAAAATGTTTTTTAGTACAGATGGCTGCTTAATGGGGAGTATAAGAATATGGGAAATTGACATCTGGCCTAATTTTGCTCTTTCTAATGAAGTTAATTTGCATAACTGTTTGGTTTACTAACAAAACATCTTTTATATTCTAGTTTTTGTTTCTCTCTTATCAACGCAATATTCTGGGCCTTGGTTAAATGTAATGTTTATGCACTTTTATTACACTGAATGAATATAGTATCAAAAGCTTTTTAGCACCTGTGTACCTAGGTAACTCATACAAAATCATTCAGTTCTTGGTATTTATACTCATCTTTTTTGTACCACTTTATATCACTCTTAATTTGTGGTCTTGGTTTCAAACTGAACTAAACTTAAAGTAGATGTTTCAAGGAATTCTTATTATTTGCATGAAACAAGAATAATTGATATCTGAAATGCACATTAATTTCCCGCTGAAATAAACTACCCTAGCTCATTATCTACGACATTGCATTCTGAAGCATGAAGATCTGAATACTCAGTAACATCTATTTGGTCTTTTGCTATTTATAACATTATGTTTGAAAGTAGCAAACTCATTAACAAGTTATGACCATTTAATACAGGTGATGTGACCATTTAATACAGGTAATGAAACTCTTTACGTAATACAATATGCACATTTTTTTGTACATATTTTATTCTACATTAGATATTTTATTGTATTTTGCAAAATTTTTATTCTACCATCTTCTTAAAATTTGTTTTCCCAAAAATATGTAATTTTCCAATTTTTTTTTCAAAAGTCAGCATATTTTCTTCCATGTATTCTGAATTCTGTGCTGATGTTGCGAGGTACTCCATCACATGCAGTCAGATGCACACGGTCTGTGTGGGTTAACCTCCATATCCACTGCATGTATATTGCAAATAGAGTACATGTGCACTGAGAATATTATCTTTAGGTATGGGGAGTACAATAAGTGATGCCATATTTCTTGTTTCAAACAGGTTTACAGGGGATGTTGGTTGTCTCAAATGAAACACTACGATGACAATGCTATAGAGATTGTTTTTTAGTAATTGAATTCACATGGTTTTACAATGGCTATGTTTTATAAATAAGACCACATTTTAATATTACACAGTTTATCCCTTTTTATATATTCTTATCATTTCTTATCATTTTTATTTCGTATGTACTATGTGTTTATTTTGCTGTTTCATACTACATATTACATATACATACTGGACTCTATTCGTGAGGTTGGGTGGACTCGGTTTATAAGGGCGTTGGTTTTGGTGTGTCACTGCTGTGTTTAAGCTTTATTAATGAATGAATTATGAAGCTTTATTAATGTTTTATGGAAAACTACTCTCTTTTTAGGGGGCTGATGTAATCAATGAACACAATGTATTTAGCTTCTAGAACATTTTCTTGTTTTGATGGATGTGTGTTTTTTATTCATTTAATCATATACAAAGTGCAATATTAATTAAGATTGCTTTTAATAGTTTTCAGTCGGAATTGTTAAGTTACTTTTGAATTAGAGTAATGCTGTGTTCCAAGTAATAAGTTTAAATTTTTTTTCTGAGAGAAATGGTATATTGTTTTGTGGATTGTAAATGGTTATTATTTCTACTTTGCATGTTTTTGTAATTATTGTAAACAGGATGAAAAATCACTTATTTGCTTCCACCTTTCATTTGTGGGAAGAAACTGAACATGATTACTGAAAAATCTAATCATTTCAACATTGATGTTGTTATTATTAGAATGAGATGTGTGCCAGAAAGTAGAGACTGAAGTGTTATAAGTAAAGACCTGATTTTTGTGCGATAAAACTTTCTGAAAAAATGCAGTAAAACCTAATAACATAATGCACAAAATGTGTAACTTTTTTGTAAAGTTTTCTGACTGTCATATATCATTCTTATATTTTCCATTGACTCAATAAATTTAAAGGAATCATTGAAAAATATTATGAATATGCAAATATTATAAAAAGGGTTATGTGGCTAAAAAACAGCTGTTAATTCAATTATCAATTAATATTAAACTCTTCAGAAGTGAAATTTAACTCAAATATTATGATGCTTTTTAAATATTTGTTTTATAGTAATTTATTTTGTACATAATTCTTGAAATAATTCTTATTTGATTCCTTAAATATTATTTACACCAAAAATTAAATTAGTGTATATGTACAAAAAAGTTAATGATTGAAAAAAAAAAAAAAAAGTTCAAAAATCAGGTTTCTTTTCTTAACCGTTCGCATACCAAGCCGGGTACACATGTACACCAATCTCCCTTTTTTACTTGTGTACATTTTTCTTATCTTGTAATATTAATGTGATATAATGTGATAATGATAAATTTTGGTACATTGTTCAAAATACTTCTGTTAATAATTACATCTTAAAGAATGTAATAGTTTTTAGCTGTTTTATGTTTTCTACTTAAAAACTACTTGTTATTTCATGTCACCAATTTTCATTCCTTATTAATTATTAGAAACAGAGATAGAAAGGGTAGAACGAGGGGCAGTAAGTGTTCGTCATTTAGGTGTAATAAATATACATATACAAAAACAATAATAATATGCATCAGTAACTTACAACACAAGTAACCTTGAAAGAAGTATTTTGATGAAGTGTATTGGTGTAATAAAAGAGAAACATAGGAATAATCTTACTTAATTCTACTAAATTTGTTTTTCATTATATATCAACTACTCAAAATAATCAAAATGTTCATATTTAAGTTAGTTACTTCAGTTAGAGCTTGGTATGCGGAAGATTAATCTTAAATGCCTTGTAAAGTGTACCTACAAAATAAAAGTCTGTTGATATAGGGTAATATTCTGTTTATATATGATATGTTAAAAGGAAATTAATGTAATTTTCTCATGCTGATGTGGTTATTTCTTCTCTGCTCCAGTACTTTTCTCACAAGAGATGAAACACTTGTCCCCTTCAGTTTTCACATCTAGAAAACTTGAATTCTTATGTTTATTTTTGAACTTAAACTACTCTTTTACTTTGGCATATTCACAGTGAGACTGATTCTGATTTGCAAGTGTGCACAAAACTGATCTGTCAGACTTGCACATTGTTTTTAGGTGTGGTATCAATAGACACTTACTCAGAATTTGTGTTCATGAAAATTATTATACTCTGCGTCGGCATAGTTTATGATATACAGAAGCTTCACTCATAGGAAAAATAAGGCACAATTTAAACATAAAGCCTCTCTGGTTTTACAGGTCAGCTGCATGCATTCTCAGGGTAAACCATAAAATCTTTTTTCTTAAAATATTTATGAAAATTAAACTAAAAAAATTCATAATATAAAAATTTGATTCTATGGAATAAAACAATTAGTCTTGCTAATTCATGCCATAAAACCCTGACCATGGAATTTTCTTGTGAAATGAAACAAGTACTGAAATAATTTCTATTTAATGATTCAAATTCATGTCAAGGTTTCATTTCAATTGAAGTTAGAGACAAACCTCTTTTTAAAATGGATGTTATTACATGGGAATCAGGTTTTAAGTTATTAATAAATGAAGATGAATTAGTGGCAGTTCTTATGTTTGCACATTTTTCTGCATTATTTAACCATTTGCATTCTAAGGGACCTTTTTGAAAACCTTCAACAAAGAGTAGTTAACATTTTGTGTGTATACCCTCAACTTATGATTGGTTTAGAAACAGTTAAAAGGCAAGGTATGGGCTTGTTATATTTGGTCCTTCAAATATTGAAGAGAGGGATGTATGTGTCACATTTTCATCATGAACATAAATTTGAACACACTTGGGAATGTCAAACATGCGTTTTTCGTTTCACTTTCTTGCCTTACGAATTCTTTGTAAGAAGAGAAAATTATGTAATCGGGTGCCAGAAAACTGAATTTTTTAATAATACATTAACCTGTTGGTTTTGAAATTACAGAATTGTTTTACTATTAAGTTGAAATGAAGTGGCCACAGTGAAGGTTTTGTTATTTATCTAGAGATTTTTATATTGTTATTGCTGCCGTTATTCTTTATAATTTATCACTATCACATAGCCATAAGGTTTTAAGGCAAACTTGAATGTAAAACAGTAACATTATAATTATTATTATTAACATTATTATTATTATTATTATTATTATTATTATTATTATTATTATTATTATTATTATTTAAGGGGATTGATACTTTTTGCCAATGAACATGAGTTGGGAAATCTCATGTAACTGAAATTACTTGTGGTATTTATCTCTGATTGATAGACGTCATGCAATGATGTTTGACAGGTCACATTCTGAAGCCTGCTGAACACAAGATGATGTTGAATTGCCTACCAATCAGGGGCAAATGTCAGAAGTAACTTTGTTACTTAAGATTTCCCATCTCATGTTCATTGAAAAAGTGTCAACCCCTTATATTCTCAAAATGTTTGGAACATTTATTCTAAGCCACCCCCACAGTACATTGATACAAACTTTGATTTGTAAGGAAAATGTGTATTGTTGATTTTAGTTCTTTTACAGAACCTTTTTTTAAAATTCTAATTAATTTTTAATTTTCTAGAATGCTCTTATAAGACAAAACTGAAAATACATGTACTAGTTGCTAATAACGGAATATAATGTGTTCAAAATAATGTGCTTTAAATGCAATATATAACAAAAAATATTCACAATATAACAAAAAATCAAATGTTACAAGTCCGATACATTATTTCTTAAATGTTTGTTTCTTAATTAAAAGAGCCTTTTGGATTTCATATTTTAATCCTAATAATTAATATTTCAAGTTCAAATTCATTGTCAACAAGAGACTGCCATGTTTTTCAGTACCAAATGCAATGAGACAATTTTTTGAAATTTGAGTGTTCCTAAGAGTGAACAGGATAAAATCATAAAAATATACACCAAGTCAATTTTGACATTTTGTAATGTTTACATTCATTGAAGTTTGAGAGAAAAGTGTAAATAACTTAAATTAATATTGTTTTATTGTAATGTGTGTAAAAATATTCAATCTTTTTTCTTACAGGCCCATTCCATCTCAAAACAAAGGTTTCCAGTTGCTAGAACGCATGGGCTGGAGTCAAGGGCAGTCACTGGGCAAAGATGGTGATGGCTGTACAGAACCGGTGAGTATTTTTAAAAAATTAATCAGAAAAATGCATCTTTATTTGGAATTTTTTTATTTTTAATTGGTTTAAATTTGTTTTTATTGTTGTGGAAGTTCCTAGTGATAATCAATGTGTCACCTGATTCCTGCACCCGTTGGCTAAAAAGATGGGATAGAACATATGTTCAATGCAAGGAAAATGTTAGAACTTGAGTGTTCAATACAGTGCAACTCTTAATGCTATTCTTTAAATATTGTCTTAATTGCCTGAATTCTTAGTAAAAAATACTTTAAATAATAGATATTATTAAATTATCCATTATAAGATATTACATTATTTATTTTAAGACATCAATTGTCTATTATAATTCCATGAAGTTAAAAAAAGAAAAGCTCCAGTTATCACCAAACATCACCAGATATAATACCTGGTATAAATAATTCTTTTACTGTTTTGAGTTGAGAAGCATGGATTCCCCTTAGATTTTTTTGGTAATTTTCCAAATTCGCTTAGCCTGTATGCCATCTGAAATTAGTTCACATCTGAGACTTGAAGAGACAGAAAAGAATGTTTAATCATATATATTCATCGTAAATATTCTATAACACAATATACATTCCTGTACAGTAATAATATAAGGATCTTTTCTGTTATTCATTTATCAGTTCACTAGCTGAAAGATTCAGTACTCTTGAGTATTAGAAATGGTTCTCTTTTGGTAGGAAAAAAGGACTGGCTGGCTAGTCAATATCACTTTCCACACACTGGGTTCCCAGGTGTTGGTTCGTTTAATTTGTTTAAGATACAGTTGAATAATTGTAATTTATTTTTAAGAGAGCCAGAAGGGATTATCTCAGACTAGCTGAAATTACAAAACCGACGAAGAAGTACTTAATTTCTAAAAGGAAAAAGGAATAATACCTGATTCAAGGGTATGTGGTCACAACTTTGTTTATCCTGAAGAGATGTTTAAACACAAAAGATAGACAGCACTTGGTGGCTACCAAAACATCGAATCGAAGTGCATCAGTACGGAATTCATGCAATGCTGGATTCTTATTTGAGTGAATTTATTTGCTGGAGAAGAAACAAAGAAATTTATTGAATGAAATATTAAATGATATTGCTGAATTTGGGACTCCATCATCATCAAAGCAGTAATGAGTGAGTTTTTAAATGGGAACTTTTTAATTAATATTTGTTTTTAAAATTGTTTATTGAATAGATTAATGGTTTTGTTAGCATTGTGTTGTGTAGCCCTATTATGCAACGAGCAATTGTCGATATGTGAAATAAATATATAGTTGAAAACCATTGCCATTTATTTTCCCAAACAGGTAGTTTTAGTGAACATAGTGAACATTTTCTAAAAATCAAGGAAAGGTTTTATTTAATGAAATATTAAATCGTATTGCTGAATTTTGTCATTAGTCATCATCAAAGCAGTAATTTTTTTTTTTATTAAATTTTTAGAGAGAACTATGAAAGTTGTAATTAGTCATATTGTGGGTTAGCAAGGTTTTGGGGGCAGCAGACACCAATAGAGCACTAGTAAATTAGTAATATAGTTAATAGAGTTACTATTTAATTGTAATGATAATATAATCATTTCGTCTAAAAGTAATGTTGAAATGTAACGGGTAAATGTTGATTGGCTTACACCATGCTTGTATCAAAACATTTGGGTGAGGATTAGGGAGCGTGTGTATCAAGAAAACTTGCACGAGTAGTTAAAATCATGAGATGCAGTATGATGCTTAGAAATTAAATAAAGAATTCATTTGATATTACCTGATGTTCTAATCCCTGGTGTTATCCTAGAAATTCTTTTACATGGAATGTTAAATGTTATTTTTTTAAGAGGAAAAATAAGTTCAGACAGTACTGGCAATTTTTTAACAGTTTTTAATCTACTACAGTGTTACATAAAGTGCTGTGAATCATCTGTTACGGACTCAATAAAGAAGAAATATTTGGTACAACATATATTCTAGAAGCTGACTTCACAACTGTTTTAAACCTTAATACAGTTGTTTCAGTAGAACCCCCCCCCCCCATTTTGTATGTATTTTCAAAACCTCATCCCCCTTTTTACGACCATAATTTACACCTCAAAATCCTTTCTGTAAATGTAATACATAAACATGTGGATAAACGCGTTGTTAATATGCTTAATCATCAAGCAGATTCTGAGGTACGTTTGTTGCCCTATATAATTTGCATTTTCGTTCACGATAAAAAGCTTCAAATCGAAATGAACCAAATAATGTTTATTTCAGTTGAACACGTGATCGAGATCCCCATGATGTACACAGCTAATATTATAAAATTCTAATAATACTAACAAAAAAACTGCAACAGAGAAAGCACTCAAGAATCGGGATGCACACATGCAAACATGCGCTGGTTCACTAATTGCCACTGACTTCACGTAACCTGACTGTGAATCAATGTTCAAGGAGAGTGACTCGCGTCTAACGCCACAAGGGCGTGGGAACACTGTCGTAATGCAGATTTTCAGAACCTGGCGTAGACCAGGAGAGCTTATCGCCAGAATACGGAACAGAAATTTCTCTAGAATAAGGAATCAAGCGTCCAATTGTTAGCGCGAATGGTGGCGAGTTGTCAATTCGATGAACTAATATTAGCGATTATTTTCCGACCTCGTTGTTTTATGGCTATTTTTCAGTTATGTTTTTCTAATATAAAACAAATAAAATAAAATATCTGTATATTTTCAACAACATACTTTGCCTTGATAAAATTTATTTTTTGAAATTATTTTTTTATCATCCACGCATACATCAATGACGAGATGCATTTCTGTTTTAGACCATACACGTGTGTGTCTATATATATATATATATATATATATATATATATATATATATATATATATATATATATATATATATGTCTTACATTTTTTACTCTCTGGTGTAGTAGGAACAATCCAGGCTGTATCGTATCATATAATACGCTAAGAAAAGATGACAGGTTCCTTTGATAAGAAACCATTGTCACAAAATCCCGTTCGTGTGCTGCTGCGTAAGGAGACCAGCAGGCGCACATACAATCCGCAACAAACAATCTGAAACACACGTTACGTTCGTCCATTACTCAGAAAGTATGCAACCTAAATCTGTAAAAACCAAGCTTTCGTGTCCCTAAAGATACGAGTTATGTTTCGTAGGCCGTAATCTACACAATGAGACATTTTATCTCTCCGCGAGCCATTGACATTTTCTCAGAGGGGAAGCGGAGGTGGGCAAAATATGTAAGAAAGCTGCAAATTGGATGAAGCAGAAACGTGTAGACATTTTATAAATATTGATGTGGAGTTTCCAGTCGAAGTCTTTAGTCCCATAAGTTTTAGTTCAACGCCGGAGGCGGCGGTGTTTCTAATTGGAATGTGAGATACGGCGTCGTCCAACTCATAAGCTTGCGATGTTACCCTGTAGGTGTCCGCCAGCTAGTCGCCTCCCTCAGGAACGCGAGATCCATTTCCATTGATATTATTTTATAAAGTTACAACCTTCATTAGAGAGCCAAGCATGCGGTTTACAAGAAGTCTAGGATAGTAAGTCATTAGCATGTACTATTTCTGAAAAGGCGTACTATAAAAAACATTTTAAAAGGCGTATTTTGTGAAACGATAAATTGTATGATGTAAAAACTCATTGTCCTCTTTCCAATAGCATTAAAACTCGCTCTTCTTTACATGCTTATCAACTACACTCAACGATGGCAAGACAAAGTCGCTGTTTCTGCAGGATAGAATCGGGCAATAGACACTCTCAGTAACTAAGAAAACCTACGTACTTTAAGTTCGGAGTGAGAACATTTTGAATATTAGAAGATTGATTTCGCTACAATTTTATTATTATTGAATTTTTCTTAAAATAATAGTAAATAAATGAAAAAAGCAAGTTGTTCTAGAATATAAATTTGGGGGCTGTTATGTTTTAATATTATTTACGAGAAACTGTTGTCTGTAAAAATGTTAAAAGCCTCAACAAGCCTATAAAAATTAGTGAAATTTTGTGTGGCATGGCTTTCTGATGCCTGAAAAAAATGTTTGTCGAAGCGTTCTCATACTTCGTCCAATGACGCTGCTTCACACTCTTTGGAAATAAACTGTAAAGCATTTGGTCGTGAACGTTGTGCATGCAGCCGTGCCCGTGGCCGTGGCCTCGTGTGTGCATGTGTGTGTGTGTGTTAGCATGTGTTGGCGCGATCTTACGCCCCCGCAGGTCGACGCCTCTGTGCGGCGGGGGAGGGGCGGCGCGCGTGACGTCAGAAAGTGAGGAAGGTCAGTTAGCCGTCGTGCAGATCTTTACTAATCGTCTCTTTCGTGCGCACGTAGTGAAGAGAAAACTGACGAACTTTTTCTTAGTCGTTTGGCCAATGTTAGCTCGGATTTATCTCGGGAGCAATGTGGTTTGAACATGAATTAGATGGGGGAAAATATATCTTTACTGTTTTTTTATGAAAATGTATTTAAAGTCTTAACTGTTTTACTTGAAATGTCCGTTTCTTTCATTTGGGGAATTACTTAATTTTGCCATTACATTCGTTTCTGAATATGAAATTTCTTTTATTCAATGTAATAATCACTTATTGTATGAAAGATGTGGTGAAAAGTAAAAAGGAATTGTCAAAACGTTTTTTGGCACCCATAAAATGTAACTCAATTCCAACGATCTCGAACGCCAAGCAAAACTTGTTTTGAAAATAATATTTTGTTCTACAGAAGTTCGTATTCGTAGTGGTCGTGTATTGTGAAATTGGTCATTGAAATATCTGTGACGTACATCACCTATGATTACTATTCTCTGATTTGTCTTTTTACGTCTTTTCTCATTTGTTGGCGTTATTACCTGACATTTCCCGATCGTTTTACATCGCGCCAAGCTGCTCATGTAATAGTCTTGAGTTGTTGCCAGTCACCGACAGATCGCTCTGGCATCTGTATTTGGACGATCTTGCGTCTATCTCGAGTGCCTTCCTTTTTCCGA